GAGTGGTGCCGTATCCTTTAGTCGATAGCCTCTTTCAGGAGCGAACAGCAAATTGGAGCGCTGTCACCAAGCAAGTCGTGGGCGCTATTGAAAATATACTATTGGAAACGGTCGAGAAATGTCTCAGGGAAACTTGTCACAACCAGACCGTTGCCGCCAGGTTGACGGAACTGGCAGTCCAAAGGATGGAAATGAAGATAGATCTATGGCGGAAATCGTGCCTCGATATCCTCCGCAGCAGGCGAGGGAGAGTAGACTTACTATCCCAGGAGCCAGAATTCATCCAGAAAGTCAATGCAGCACGTACGCAGAGATTCCTCAGTGCTCTTGCCAGTCTGGAGCCAGTGGACGAGGCGTCGGATATCCCGATCGCTCCTGCATTTGGACCACTCCTTCACGCGAAAACGCCAGCCCGTCCCAAATCCAGTTCCGAATCCCCTTCTTCATCGTTATCTGGCAGTTCGAGCCCTAGAACTCCAAAGAGCATACGATCATACGACGCCTTTGAAGACGATCCTTTCTACAGTTTTAACGCGAAAGGGGATCTAGATACCGAGTGGAAAATCTTCAACCTCGATGACGAGACACGCAATTGGGGTTCTTCTCCCTTTCGCATGCGCTGCGTGAAAGTACCTCGACCTCGAATCTCGTCTGCAGCAGGGGCAGACTACGTACGTCGAGCGCAAGACATTATAACGGATGACTGTCAAGTCGTCTATCAGATCCACGATATTCTGAAAGCATATTACAATATTTCCCTCCGGAATTATGTCGACTCAGTCTTCAAAGCTCTGCAGCCAAGCTTGAGTGAGGTAATCGAGTCGTTCTCAACACTTGTGAACTCGTTGTCCGTTGAACAGATAAGCCAGCTTTTTGAAGAGAGCGAGGTTGATGCGAAAGCACGAAAGTCTCTCGAGGAAGATATTCAAAGGTTAAAGTTGGCAGTCCTGGAGGCGGAGGTCATTCTTTCAGAGCCTACTTCTAGTTCATTCTCCAGCCAATCACATCCAAAAAAGGATTGACCTTGAGATCTTTAGCTGCGAGATGATCTAGTCTTGTTGTGTAGCTCGTGCTCAAATTATCCATAAATTCAAGTTAATTATAGCAATTCAACATCGGGGAATTCGTGAAGTGCTTCGGCCTCTTAAAATTATATAAGTCTGTAAGATATATTTAAGGGCAATGCGAAACTATTGTTTCGCGAACCCTTTCGATATGAGGGGGCTCTGCATCACTTCATCCCAAACATGCACCATTCTAGTGTTCTCGGCGGATAATCTCACTTCTGTTCCTGTTCTATCAATCATTTCCTTCTCGTAGTCCTCTATTGCCTCCAATTTGGTCTTCCTGGATTGTACAAAATCCACAATTTGGGTCACGAGCTCAGAAGCATCCTTGATTGCTGAATTCAAGCCTTGCCCACGTTCTGCTTTAATATTAGCACTCTCGCTTTACTCGTCTTCTTGGAAAAGTGCATACGAAAAGTCATAGGATGTGCTGCGTCACCCGCCAAAGTGACCCTTCCACCATGATTATCCCATTGATGCTCAGGTAAACTTGGGTCCCACTGTGTTAAAGGAGCATACCAAACCGGCTGGTCATCCTTCAACCATAAGAACGCACTTCGGAAAGGGTCCGCAAACTGTTCGGCAAAGCCTTTGACTTGTTTCAGCCTCATCTCGCTCGTCCAGTCTTTACTTTTCTCCTGCTCGAAGTGGGAATACGGCCATGAGATATAATGATTCATAATCCAGTTCTCGGGGTCGTTGACATCAGGGGCCGCATGCAGTCCCACCCAGCTGAAGAAGCCAGCTGGGTGTGGCGCTGCCACATATAACGGATGCCAAGAGCGGAGGAACTTGACCTGTTCAGCAGTATATTTAGCTTGTACAATGGACGCCGCGAATTCAAGGGTCGTCAAAGCAGCCTTCTCTGGGCCTAGTAGTAGATTTCGGACAGGAGATCGAGTTCCATCGGCTCCAACCAGGATGGAGCCGCTTGCACTGGAGCCATCATCAAAATGCGCTGTTACGGTTGTACCATCGTCTGAATAGGAGATGTCTGAGAGACATTTGCTGTACTGGATGTCAACCCCGTCCGCGATCAGAGCGCGTAGCTTGCTTCGCCTGAGGCGATAGATATGCGGGGTCTCTGCTGCCCCGATTTGCTCGCCAGTCTTTCCGTGCAGAAACTTGATTGTGTCTGATGGCGGACACGGTCTATTGGGGTCAACTTGTGCAGCATCGAGCTGTGCAAAGGCTTCCGGTGGTATCAGGGTCTTCAGGATCGGAATACCCCTGACTATAAGTTAATATTACGTTCTTACAACAGAGTAAAATCCGAATTTATGAGACTTGCTCATATAGTTGCGACACAGTGCTTCCAAGTCCATAATAGTTAATGAGATTTTTTGCCAAGCAACATACCAATGCGCTCCCATGTTCCAATCTCGCGCACGTTGAAGATTGACCGGCTCTCTCTCGAAGACAATAGATTTGATGCCGGCATTTCAGGCTGTTAGTCAAGAAGATAAAGGTCCTGAGGATATGTGAAGATGAACCTTTTTTAGACCTTGTGCAAGGCTCAGGCCAGTACAACCTGGTGTCACCAGTCAGCAGTAGTGGGGGTAGCCTATCTGGCAACTGGTGTCACAACTCACCAGCACCGATGATCAACACAGGCGCATCAGCTGCTGCCAAAGGCTCGTTACCGACGTTACCAGACATTTTGCCAGGCTAAGTGTGCTCAACTCTGAGCGGCGCGGGTCGATGTTACATCTGAAAGAGACATCGAACCTTGCCTTATCAGGGAAAATATATGACCCCCGCACTCCGCAATTAATTAATAAGCGCGGTGCCAAGTCCTGGTGGCCCCAACACCAGAGGGATACGGGTCTTTAACGCTGGACCGGAACGGGCCGCAGCTTTCGGCGTCGGCGCAGACTAACTTTAGGACTCTGCGAATGCACAACAGCGAATTGAGGGACGATATGGATGACAACTCCAAACAAGGGAATCTCGACGCTGATCGTCCTGCGGCTGACCTGCAGGCCGCCCCTCCACCACCAGCTGTGGCCGCCGGACCGCTGCCGAATCTGATTCCTGGCGCCACCTCCTTGCAACCCGAACAAGAGGAGTTCGAGCACTCCGACGGTGACGGTGACGAATACGGAGACGGTGACGGTGATTCGGCCTATGGCCAGTCACTCCATTACAGCGACACAGCCTCCATCACGTCCGCCATTACTAAGTACCGGTATGAAAACGGTCGTCGATATCATGCCTATCGGGACGGCGCATACTGGGCCCCTAATGATGAAATCCACAACGACCAGCAGGATATGGCACATCATCTATGGCTTCTGACATTGGATAATAAGTTATATCTAGCACCGATACTCAATCCACAAGTGAGCTAAATACACACCCTACCGGCCTCGATTTAAGACCCATTGCTTACTATGGCGAGTCAATAGACTATTCTCGACGTTGGGACTGGAACCGGTATATGGGCGATGTAAGCCTTTCAACTCTCTGCAATGGGTGACAAATACCATGCGTTTCAGGTACTGACTCTGCCAGCGACATTGCCGATGCATTCCCTTCCGCAATTGTCAGAGGGATTGACCTCTCACCGATCCAGCCCGGATGGGTACCGCCAAACTGCATCTTCGAGGTGGATGATGTCACTCTCCCTTGGACCTTCCCTCCTGAATCCTTCGATTTTATACATATTCGCGAGATGTTTGGCTCAATTGGAGACTGGGACAAACTATTCCGCGAAGCATATCAAGCACTCAAACCTGGTGCGTTTCTGGAATGTGCTGAGCATTCGGTAACGCCCGTCAGTGATGATGGTACGGTTGGTCCAGATCACGTATTTACGCGTTATGGAACAATAATGAATGAGTTGGCGAGGAAGAGAGGCAAGGAATTTGATGTTTGGGTTACGGTCAAAGACCGCATGAAGCGTGCTGGCTTTGTGGACGTGGTAGAGACGAGGACGAAATGGCCGATGAATGGGTGGAGTTCCGATCCAAAAATGAGAGAGCTGGGAAGGTGGAATCAATTAAGGATAACCCAGGGCATCGAAGGATTTGCGATGCGGATGTTGACAACTTCCGGCGGGGTACGTCGAAGACACATGACAGTCTGAAGTTGACGCTAATTTGAAGCTGATATAGTGGTCCCCTTTGGAAGTACAGATTCTCGCTTCCCAGATCAAAACAGCGCTGAAGGATAGAAGCGTTCACGGATATCTTGACGCGTAAGTTTTGAATCCGGCCCTCGATCGTTTGCTAACTGTTATGGAGCACCGTCGTGTTCGGCCGGAGACCTCACCCGTCTGAAGGAGAACTATAAGTCTTTTGTAGCTGTTTCAATACAGCCACTGCGCACACGTTGCGAGATATTACTGCAATATACGTTTGAGCCAAACCATATGCTCGTATTCAAACCAATTCAGGTCATGTTGCCGGAAGGTGATTCTAGCATTTTCTCAGGTCGTCAGCTTGTATTGTATCAATAGTAGCACGGAGCATCCATCTCAAACTAAAGGAGAGATAAAGCTTCATCTTGATGAATCTCAGATGAGATGACTCTGATCTGAGAGTGGTGCGGCTTTCCCCCTGAACCCAGGCTTGCGGATGCTTGTACTGTATTCGTAGTCCTAGCAGGTTTTGGAACCAGCTTCTGCTATTCCCATTATAATACACAAGATAAGCGTCATATGTCTAGGAGGATAAAAACTATAGTGGAAGTCAGGACATACTCAGGCATTATAATACTCTAGATTTAGAGTCATAATAAATATGAAGTCATGAAAAAACGTAATAACTTTAGGTTGAGTGAGGTAACGAGGTGGCGAAGAATTTGCTTCCTCTTTCTGCAAAAATAGTTTCTATTGGCAATTTCCTCCTTCCCCCTTTCCCCAACAGCTCGCTTATCCTTTGATGATAAAACGAATAACATTCCTTTACCAAGCACAAAAGAAATACGCAATGGAGTCGGCTGGGTTCGAACCATCATCTCACGATTGAACAGACAGATTGCTTCGGAGCGGGATCTCAAATGCAAACCATGACATCCTCTATTTCACAATCCGCTGCGTGTGTCTCGTGCACTTTACCGTTAAGCTACGACCCCTCCTTGATTCATATCTCCAAAACTCTCTATCTTTATACAATACAGAAGCATGAATGAGACGAAAGCTACACCCTTACATCCTCGCTTGCAAACCGAGGTTCAAGCAGAGTGAGGAACAAACTCTTAAAAAAAAAAGACAAGAGTAGAGATGTTTTTGGAGTCAGCTGGATTCGAACCAGCATTTCACAATCGAGACGCTCTGACAGGGCTCTTTCTAAGGCGGAATGCTGACGGATCTCAACGCAATGCGTAAAATCCTCTTCCTAAGAGTTGGAATGTGTAAGCGTTGTTCTTGTGCGCTTTACCGTTAAGCTATGGCCCCTTGGATTTGCAGTAAATTGCTAAATTTGGGTTATGAGGGTGGGATTGACGAGATAAGTGAGGCGTTAATAGAATTATCAAGGTTGACTAACTGATGGCGCGCTTGCGATTGAATGGTAGGGAGGGTCTGACAAGGAGGCAACAGAGGCAAACCAAGGGAACCGACTTTAGAGAAATGGAGAGCATGTAGTCCAGAAGTGATCACTAAGAAACTACGCAAAGGGTCTTCTTACTCGAATATCAATTAATCTAAGTCTTCCCTACTCTTCTTAACGAGTCCTCGGCATTAATGACCCCCTCTTGAAACCCGATAGCTTTGGCTAGGCTCTTTGCCTCCTCAAACTTCCTCCTCGCCTCCGCAATATTCCCGTCCATCTCTGCGAATTCTCCTAGATTGTGTGTTGCTACGGCACAAGCCATATCGCATTCTTCCGTCCGCTCAGGTGGTGAACATTTCGCAGCCAGAGCGACGGCCTTTTCGGCCCATGCACGGGCATTGCTGACGAGTGCTGGCCTGGAGACAGGTGGCTGACCTGGTGTTGGGGGTGGAGCTTGTTGAGCGAGGGAGATGGAGAGGTTGTTCACTAAATCATCAGCATATATTTCTGAATGGAAAGATGGTCGACTTACTCAATACCGCCGTATGGCAACTCGTTGGCGGCGACATCGTCAAAGCCTGAAGAAACAATGGCGCAGCAAGGTAATGCTGATCCTTCTCCTCATAATGATGTCCTAACGCCTCTAACGTGCCTCCAATTTGCTCCGGATCCATCCATTCCCCCTCCTCTGGCTTGACGCCCTCTTCTTGCCTCCTCTTCTGCTCCTTCAGCACCGTCTCCACTGCCCAAATCAACCTCTCCTCTGCAGCCTCCTTATCATCCACATACTGGTTCGCATACAGCTCTCCCAGCTTAACACTAATGCCCACTGTCTTCCCCAACACCTTTGTCCTCTTCGCCTCATTCCCCGGCTTGCTTCCTAGCTCTTCTACCCACCGCAAATTATCCCTCTTAACAATCTCCAGGATATCAATCGCCTTCCGATATTGCTGCACCTTCTCCATCAACGCCGCAAGCTGGATCTTGACCCCAATTATCTCGTCCGAGAAAGGGTCCATGCCAATCTCATCCGCAACGCGCAGCGCCTCTTTATAATATTTGACCGCGAGTTTCGCGTCCAGTGCTTGGTTGGTGTAGTACAACGCTTTCCGTAGCTGCTTAGCTACCGGCTCAGGGAACTTGTGGAAGGCGCCGAGGAAGTAGGTGTAGTATATGTAATTGGTGTATGCAAGAAAGCCCACGCCGGTGAGGATGCTGTCTGCTGTTAGCTATTGTCCTAGCTTGCTCCTGGGCATTGGATATACAAGAATGTTGCCGCTGTGACGGAGAAAGGGTAGGCTTTGAATAGAGCTTTGGAAGCTTGGCGGAAGGTGGCTGTCGATTGGTATCTTTGCTGTCTCATCTGATGGGATATTGAGTTCCGTGGCAATGGCTTTCGTTGTTGGCGTAAACATTGTGAAGCTTGCTTTGAAGCTGGTCGGAACGCGCTCCTGAAGCGTGGCGCGAACATTGTGGTAGCTGTACAGATCCAGGCCTTTCACGGTCGAGCTGAGTCCAGATTGCGGGATGAGTGGTGATCTCAATTCGAGCTCCTGAAGCTGTGACGTCTAAGCTGCGAGAATATTTTGAGGTCGATGATCGCGAGAACAACCCCTGTCGGCTGAGCTCAAGCCGACGGCCGCTAAAACCGACCCTCCTGTATTTACCCCACATCCGAGGCTGCACAAAACTTTACGACCATCCCTCTGAACACATCTCCTGAGCATTGCAGTTCCTTTGCTCAACACAGTGTTCTACGAATCGAGGCAATTCCAAATACTTGAGTACATCTCGATTTCAAGATGGCAACCAAAGGCAAATTCGAGCCGAAGACACCTGTAGTGCTCAACCCGCCAAAAGACGACCCTATTACTACTGAGTTCTTATCAAAGTGTAATGGTAAGCCTCTTCCGAATTACTCAACTACCCTTTCCAAGACTTCAGCTAACGCCCAACCCAGGAATTGACAGCGACCTGTGCTACGTCGCTATCAAGGTAGCTCCTCTCCAGTCTCTCGCTCAAGCCACCCCACTCCTCTTCACCAATCCCAAGCCCAGCAGAGATAAGACGAGGCTGACACTCTCCGCTCACAGGGCAAAGTCTTCGACGTAACAGGCAACAAATCCTACGAGAAAGGCGGCTCCTACCATGGTATTCTCCCTCCTCTTCTAATACCGACCCCACTAACCACGCGCCCCAACCAGTCTTCGCAGGCCACGACGCCTCGCGCGCGCTGGCCCTCACATCCACAAAAGCCGAAGACGTGCGTCCGGACTGGGAAGACCTAGACGAGAAAGAGAAGCAGACGCTCGAGGACTGGATGACGTTCTTCAGCAAGCGGTATAACGTCGTCGGTATTGTGCCTCCGGCGTCCACCTCGGCCTAGGGCCATCAACCACCAACCTCAAAGTATGTGAGCAGGACGGGAAGAGGGAGGAGGGGGAGGGATGGGGACAGGATTTCCGTTTCCGGGCGTGGAAGGGGGAGGAGTTTCGGCGTACATGACAGACAGACATATGATGCAGCTCGTTCAGCTAGCTAGAGAAGAAGCAAGATTCTTAAATCCGGAATAAACCTTTCCTTACTTGGACTTTGCGGCTCGATCTTCTGCAGCAGAGGTATCTCCCGCTCCTCCGGTAGCCCGGTGGTCCTGTCCCAGAGAGCTGATTGACTCGACCCGGTAGCTGGATCCCGTTGCTCGTGCCTGCAGGCGCCAGATCGACATCCGTGTCACGGCGGCATTATTTTATTGTGCTGTTTCGGGACGCTGGCAGAGGCCGAGGGTCTGTCGTGCGCTGGCTGTTGGAAGAGAGAAACGACTGCTGTGTCACTATCCAGGGTACAGCTCCGAGGGGATGCTGGCTCTAGCTGTCGATCAGCCACGCCTCGTTGCACAGAGCACTTGTGATTTTCACTTCACTTGAGCCCGAGGCTATGCAAAGACTTCAGCACTTAGTTTCTTTTAGCACAGTTGCTTCTTTTCTTCGTTGTAATCTCTGTTTATGTTTGAAAAAGTGTCTCCGCCGAGCCAATATCCCCATCAAGATTATGTCCATGGCCAAAAGAAGATTTCCAACGATAACAATATGTCTCGTAAATGGTACTTGTAGTTCTTACCCGATGCCGGAAGATAACCGCTCGCAACAATGCACACAAAATCCTCCCTTAGAGCCCCTGCGAAAGTACACACTCTCGCTTTCCTCCTGAATTCCAGTCAGAACGTCACTATTTCATCAGTGGCGGCAAGCCCAAAACGGCCTTTCCATCGGAAGACGACCTAGACACAGCCAGTCCCGTATCCGAGTGTAACATCAGATTTCTCGAACGTCTACTGTCGTTCGCCCCCACGTGCGGCCCGCTTCCTGGCAGCAGTACGCATGGCGTCCAGGCAAGGCTGACACGCCACGTTCTGCACCCACGTATGCTTAATGACCTTAACGCCGAAACATTGGTGGTAGGGATCAGTGCGTGCGAAGTGGCAGTAGGAGAGTAGCCGACTCGAGTTGTGGCCGCAGACGAATTGGAATTCTTCCCAGTCGCACATGGTTGACGTGCTTTGTACGAGGTCAGCCTTGCTGTCGGCTACTGTTAGGGCAAAGAGGGAGAGCATGCCTTGTGGAGCCTTTGTGTACTTGTGCGGCCTTGGGTTATTGCGGGGTGCCGACGCCACTATGCTGTGCGGATATCGGTTCCAAGTTTTGGGTTCCGAGTACCTGGTTGACAACGAGGCTGACACAGTTTCGAGGTTGATGCCGAAGGTCTGTTTCGGTCTTGGTGAATGTTGTATTTGGAGTCGAGGTTGCTGCTTGCAAACGGACTCAAGAAGATCTGATGGGTTGTTAATACAAGGCCTTTGTTGAGTTGAAGTTTCACTTACAAAAAGCCTTAAGAGACAAGTCCGCAACAACCCGATGCGAGGAAGGTTGTTGAAATTTGAACACAAGAACCATATACTGAAGGAGAGAGTTCACTGAGAAACACACAGCTCTCATGCTTGACACACGCAGGATCGGGAAGCAGCATTGCTTATATCTTGCAAAGTATCTTCAATAACACCCGCACTAACGGCGAACCTAATCGAACGCAGCGGATCAATTTCCAATCAAGGAAGAGGAATGTAACCAATAAATGTCTTTTCCAAGGAAGAAGCATTAACTTTCTTTGTGCAAGAGTTTTTGTCCTCATCTTTTGAAAGCCATGGCTTGGCGGGAAATACATCCTTGTGTTGCTGCTGCATTAGGGCACAAACATTTGATTTGCGGCCGAAGTTCCGAACCATTGGCATAACAGAGACCGCGTTCATAAGAGATGTAGAGGCAAACGGACAACCTCATTCGAAGAGAGTCAGATAGCTTGCTTTATAGTCAGAGAGTTGACGAATGCGAAATAGCAAACTGTCTCTGGATTGGGCCGTCAAAGCGAGGAGGGGGAATACAAAGCAAAGGCAACAAGGGTTTATGGAGGTGCGGAACACTTCTTCAAGGTTGGATGAACGAACCAGCCTCTAACGTTCCAACTTTCGTATCGAAACCACCAAGGAAAGAAAGTGACAAGAAGTGAGAAGTGACGGTTCTTATGGAG